CTAGACCGAAAAGAAAAAGAACCTCAGGAACACATTCCTGAGCACTGCGTATTTGTTGTAAACTGTGCTGGTATGGCCGTCCTGCCTGTCAAGGGGGGGGAAGGGAGGCCAACAAAACATGAATGAATTCAATCATTGAGAGCTATATACAGTACATGATTAGGTGCAACACCAATCTGCAGAAAATCAGCCATACAGATTCAACCTTCATATCAGATCCTATTCCGAATGAATGCTCAGGGTACCTAGTATAAATTTTAGGGCCAAAGACTCAAGATTCAGAAATCCCGCCGGGTGGGAAGATCACGAACCAGTCATAGCCTAAAAAGGAGCACATGGCCCCGTCCTCACCCTTGACTAGACTACTAGACTAGTGACTTTATAGGACTGTAGGTCAGCTCTCCAGGCTCCCTTTCTCTGTCCCTTTAAGTAACTCCCTGCTTTCCCAACCTTCCTAGGTATGTAGTCATCCTTCAGTCCCTAGTCTAAGTAGTCCAAACCACTATCCTCCCTTGCTCGGGTGCGACGCTAAGTGGACTACGATGGGTGGGTTTTTTTTCTCTATGATACGACATGGGAATCCCGGTCGGTCTGCTATCCTCACTCATCCTCATATTTCGCATCGGACCAAACTTTGCAGATGATCAGGAGCTGTGCCTGGCCGGCTCTTCAAGATGTCCCGTGGTTTGTGTTCCGACGGGAGAGGAGGACTGTTTGTTTGGGTTTCTGGGCCAATGATTCGGCCACATGCTTCGGTGACTCCCGGTCAGGGGGAGGATGAGCAGGGCCACTATGATGTGATTATGTAACTTCTGACTAAGAATAGTCCCGAAGTAACTATGCTTGAATCAAGCCGGTAACCACACTTGCATGCGGGATTCTTGTCGGATGTTTCAAGTGAAGAGCTGGTTACGGGAAATATATCACTGTGCAGATGGCTGCTGCTATCCTGATAGCAAGGCTGATGTAGCGGAGAGAGAAAATGTTTACTGGTACTATTATGACTTTGTGGTGTTGAGAGGCCGATGCATTTATATGTTGTTGGCAGCAGGATGCCTGCTAGACGGTTGGGAGATCACATGCAGTACCTTTGAGGCCCCTCTCATCTGATATGTGTTTTTACATTTACTAGCATGGTGGACTTTATCAGTATTCCAGAAGAGACTTCTACTGACCTACCATTTACCACATTGCCACCCGACATCCTCTCTTTTCAAATCAACATCTGTAGGACAATCGATGTCGTTACCACAGCTATTCTCCCGGTGGATGAGTAGTCGGTGGGATATAACAGCGCCCGGATATATCTGATGCATTCCAGGCACAGTAGCTGCTAGAAGCCCAGTCCTCCAAAGACAGTGCAGCCTTATCACTCGCTGTAAAGTGCATGCAACAATCCCGCTTCCCTGCTGGCATGCATCCATTTGATGCTCGAACGGGCAATATATGAGGGCTGGTTTGCTCACTCCTCAGTGGCAGACGATCAAGAATAACCGCTCTGTCTCGCTGAAGGAGTATCGTAATCGAGATCGTAGTCATCGTCATCGCCCGGAGAAGTCTACGCATCGATAATGATATTGTGCTCTTGTATGGTAGCTGTCTCTCTCGTTCGCATCGTGGGCTCTCTGGTGCCTGTAGTTCACACCTCCGCATTAGATTCATGTACATTGTTTGACGGTGACGAGAGCGGACTTACATGTCCGTGTATGGATGCATACTCGTAAGCTGTTGTTCAAGTGTGCAAGATGGATAAGAGCCTAGCCGGCCAGAGTGTTGCATGATTGTTGGCATTACAAAAGATGCCTTTTCCACGTATAGCCGACATATACCTATATTAGCGAAAGCGCCATGCTTGCAGAATGATCCATTGAAGAAAGAAGGACCAAGTGAATGTACGGTGAATTGGGCGGAGGAAATATTTTGCCGGGGAGAGGGCGGTAGAAATGAGAGAGGACAGAAAGTAAGAAAGAGAGAAAGAGGGAAGTCTGGAAGGTGCAAGGGTAATCCGCACAGTACACACCATCATAAAAAGCAAACTCTCCCTTTCCTGAGCCATGGCAATTGAGACATCACCTTTCTGACACATGCGAAGGACACAGCTACCCCGTCATGTTAATGTATGGTTCTAGAAGATAATTCTGACATATCATCCTCCAGTCAAGATATTTCGCAGCAAGGATCTTCACCGACATCCACAATGAGACCTCCTCGGCTCTTCGAGAAGTACGACGCTGGCAGCTTGTTACCATTTGGTAAGATAACTCAAATAAAAGACCACGAGGTGATCTCAATAGATGGTAAGACAGATTCACAGACCTCTCGAAACCTCATGGCGCGATTGCTCTAATCTGATGTGAGCCCAGGCGCACTCCCACCCACACGATCGATCTGGCCGTCCGATAGCACATCTTCGTGCTCGCATATTACGTGCAAAGACGACTTGTGCGGACTAAAGCGTCGCTGCTAGTGACTGTGCAAGCGATTCTGCTTGGCTGTGGCGAAGGCAGTCTGACATTCAGTCTCACGAGAAACATAATACTGCGGGTCTACATGGAGCTTTTCGCCTCCCGAAGCACATTCGAGCAGACAACGAGGCGTCAGTCAGATATTCGGAGGACCGGAATCTTTCTGAACTGCGATAACAAATTCACCGGCAAGCCGGATCCAATCCCAATCCTCAACATTGTCAAACTCGGCTCGCCATTAGACAAACTCTTCACCACATCAAACGTGGCTTACCCTAAGCCACTGGGCGTGAGAGGAAACTCAATTAAATTCGCACATAATCAATGCCAGCCTGTGACTACCTTGCAATAATGCCAAGCTTTCAGCCACCTTCGCCTTCCAGGGCCTTTCCCTCGCAGCTCACCGGTAATCACAGAACCGGATAAATTGATTATGAATCTCCTACGTTCGAGAGAAGACTCGGCTCGTATATAAGGGCCCTAGTCAGATTTGATCCAATGAAAGAGCAATGATAAGCCTCCAACTCTGGCGAGTACACCGACTTCTGCGTCATTCGGCTGGGATCAACGAGGTAGTCTCTTCTTACCCCTCTCCGGGGTCAGGGTGTGGACCGGATATCCTGGTGATTAAGTGTCATCATGGATGCACACTGGTCGGCAGACGGCGGGTGCATGCCTGGTTTATGGCATGATATTACCGTGGAGGTGCAGCTGGGGAAGCTGAACGAGTCGAAGAAATTGTGGTGGTGGCACTCTAGCGCGTTCAAGCGAGACTCATCAGTGGACGGAAAATCCCGCTATCACCTCCGCACAATTTCTCCGGATGTACCCACCATCCCCCGGAATTGCTCGATCAAGTAGATGGTGCGGGGAGGAGTTGGGGTCGCTTCTGCCCGCTTGCAACTTTCGTCCGTACGCCGATGCTCTTTCTTCTCCGTCTGCCCTCAACTCGCCGCCCCCCGACACACTATACCTGCTTGGCTCGGCTGCATGACGCTTATTTAGCTATGCGGATCCCATGTCTTAGTCAGTCTGAGCAACATGGCCCTATATAGCCAGACGACCTCTGGTTGAGATTTCCTGGACTTCTCTTGACTTGAGAGTTCTGAGAGGGAAGGGCCTGTGTCTTGTGTTGCCAGGATTCACCCATCGACTCACAACCCGCAAACAGAAAGTCACTCTCAAAATGGGTCTCTTCAAGAACTATCGTATCTATGTCCTCACAGCGGTAGCCTATTCAGGCTCGCTTCTGTTCGGTACGTACTCTCCTGTCTTATTTCAACCTTGCTTTGACTGACCGTCGTGTGTGCCAGGCTTTGACACCGGTGTGATGGGTAGTGTCCTTGCCCTTGACAGCTTCAAGAACGACTTCGGCCTTCCCACTGATTCAACCGGTTTCGCGTCCGCCAAGAACTCACAAGTGTCCTCCAATGTTGTATCGCTGCTGACTGCCGGCTGCTTCTTTGGTGCTATTGCTGCTGCTCCCCTCAATGAGCGTCTGGGGCGTCGCTATTCTCTCATGATTTTTACCTTTATCTTCCTTATTGGAGCAGCCGTTCAGGTTGCCTCTAAGCATGCAATTGGCCAGATTTATGGCGGTCGTGTCATTGCTGGCTTGGGCATTGGAGGAATGTCCAGTATCACACCCGTTTTTGTCAGCGAGAACTGTCCTGCGAGGATTCGTGGTCGGATCTCAGGACTGTTCCAAGAATTCCTGGTCATTGGAAGCACATTCGCTTACTGGCTCGACTATGGCGTTTCTTTGCACATCAAGCCCAGTACCAAGCAGTGGCGTGTTCCCGTGGCGGTTCAGCTAATCCCAGGTGGCCTCATGTTGATCGGACTCTTCTTCCTCAAGGAGTCACCGCGCTGGTTGAGCAGCAAGGGCCGTTTTGAGGAAGCGCTAGACTCTCTGGCTTACATTCGCAATGAAGCGCCTGACAGCGACGCGGTACAGCAAGAGATGGCTGAGATTAGAGCAGCTGTCGAGGAGGAGGCATCCGCCACCGAAGGACTGAGTTACAAGGAGTTCTTGGTGCCCAGCAACCTCAAGCGCTTTGCTTTTGCCTTCTGCCTCATGTTCTGGCAGCAATGGAGTGGAACCAACTCCATTGGGTACTACAGTTCGCAGATCTTCCAAACTATCGGACTCAGTGCTACGAGTTCCTCTCTTTTTGCTACTGGTATCTATGGGACAGTGAAAGTTGTCGCCACTGCAATCTTCCTATACGTCGGTATCGATAGATGGGGTCGCAAGCCCAGTTTGATCGGTGGTGCTTTCTGGATGGCCAGTATGATGATCATCCTTGGGGCTCTCTTGGTCTCATATCCTCCCGACACGAACGCCAGTGGTGTCTCTAAGCCCTCCATTGCTATGGTCGTTATGATCTACCTTTATGTCATCGGCTACTCCTTTTCGCTGGGTCCGACCTGTTGGGTTGTTGTCAGTGAGGTAAGTTCTCCCCAAGTTTCTGCTGCATCTCAAACAGAGTGGCATAATTAACATGTGAGACTAGATCTTTCCTACACGACTACGTGCATACGGCGTCGGTTTGGCAGCGACCTCACAGTGGCTCTGGAGCTTTGTGGTGACGGAGATCACTCCCAAAGCCGTTCACAGCCTTGGCTGGAGGACTTTCCTCATGTTTGGCATTTTCTGTATTGGCGCAGGTATTTTCGTCATCATCTTCGCCAAGGAGACCAAGGGCCGCAGCCTGGAGGACATGGACATCCTCTTCGGCGCGGTCAACGAGAACGAACGACGCGAGGCGGTGGAGCACACCATGCACAAGCAAGGCGCCACTCACATCGAAGACATGAACGCGGAGACTGTTCGTGTGCGGAACAGCCAAGACAGGGTCTAGCTGGCTAGGTCTTGTGGCTTGATTCCTTCCCCTGAATACGATTATGACTTTACCGCGGGGGCTGGATCCTTACATAGATATTAGAGGCTAGAGAGAGACTTAGAATATCGGGGCTGTTTACATGATCGTGGGCTGGCAGCTTGATAGAGGATACCTACACTTGCAAATCTTGATTACTTCAAGCAATCCCAGCGTTCAAGCGTAGCGTTCCATTCCATTGGTAAGGTTTCTTTGCTTTCCCTAATCAGACTGATCCGAGACATCACAGCAGATGATCTCCCCCTGTTTCATACGGGCTCGCCGTAGTCCAAATGAGGTTCTCAATAGAAGAAACACTTAGAAAGTACACTTGATATGGAATGTTAGAAGCTTTCCTTGCTCGTGTCCATCCAGGTCACAAGTGATTACTCATGTTTCTGCACCAAGCCGTCCTTGCATAGGCTTGGCATCTCAGTTCTGGTGTCGCCGGTGTCAGTCCAGACTCCTTGAGTATGATTTCCGTTCCTTCCCTGACAGGTTCTGGAGAAGGAGGCCGTGCAGCAAAGCCACTCGTTCACTGACTAGTCACTCATAGTACCGCCACCTCAGGAGTGCAGGCAGGAGCGGTACAGTCTTCCCTTCGCAGCACGGGGCGCTGTGCAGTGCATCGATCCCATCCCCCAACTTACATATCATATATGAGCTATTCCCTTCTCTCCCTCTCTTCACCATTCCACCTCCAAGATATCGCTTCGAACATAGTGATTCGGCATCGCGTCAATTGTGAGGCTTCTCTACCTGCTCTACTTTCTTTACACCTCATTAGCAATCATGCATCTCTGGCACCTCTTGCCTCTCGTGGCTTTTCCTTACGCTTGCCGTATCCTGCTTCCGGAGCACGGTGAACTGTCAGGCAATGGCCGGCCGGAATGCGACCTTCCTTCCTTGATCGACGCGACGGTGGATGACCTGCAAGAGGGCCTGAACAAGAGTTGCTTCACCAGTGTGGAATTGGTCAAGGTGCGTGTGGCCCTCAACTCCTTGGCTTACCCGAAGTCGGAGGTCGTGGAGGCCTGGTTAATCGGAAATCCTGTTTAGGCGTACACGCTCCGAATCCATGAGGTCAATTCGAAGACGAATGCTGTTTTGGAGGTGAATGATGAGGCACTCAGTATTGCAGCGGCTCTTGACAGTGAGAGAAGCAGAGGGCAAGTTCGTGGGTAAGTCTGGTATCACATGGGGACTTCGAGTTGGGAATTGGGCTGCTAACTCTTGTGGGGTATGGGTGCAGGCCTCTGCATGGGCTGCCGGTTCTGATTAAGGATTTGATCGGAACGGGGGATCAACTCAACAATACAGGTACGGCGGATTGGTCTTGTTGGGCTGGGTAGAGGGACTCGTGGCTGACTTCTTTTATAGGCGGGTCTTATGCTCTCCTCGGATCCAAGCTTCCTGCTGAAGCCACAGTGGTGAGTAAACTCAGAGAACAGGGGCTCATCATCCTAGGCAAGAGCAGCGTGTCGGAATGGGCCAATTTTCGCTCCTTCAATTCGTCCAACGGGTGGAATGCCAGGCGAGGTCAGACGTATGCGGCCTACTATCCTGGGCAGGATCCGAGCGGAAGTTCGAGTGGGAGCGCTGTTGCGACTGACCTGGGGCTGGTCACTTTTGCTCTGGGTACAGAGGTAAGCTGGCGACCGTCAACATGATGATTTGATATGAGCTAATTGCCTTTCGTTCTGACAGACTAGTGGCAGCATTCTGCTTCCCGCCGAGAAGAGCAATGTCGTCGGTATCAAGCCCACCGTCGGTCTCACATCGCGATACATGGTCATCCCCATCAGTGAGCGCCAGGATACCGTTGGACCCCTGGCCAAGACAGTCAAAGATGCTGCCATGCTGTTGCAAGCTATTGCCGGTGCAGATTCCATGGACAACTATACGCTGGCCTCGCCCTTTGGCAACTACTTGCCCAATTATGTGGATGCCTGCAAATTTTCCGGGCTGCAGGGGAAGCGCATCGGTGTTCCACGAAATGTCATCGCTTATTTTGAGCAGTCCGATGCCTCCATGATCCCGGTCTTCGAAGAGGCAGTCTCCGTCATTGCGGGTGCTGGTGCGGCTGTCATCGATGAGACAAATTACACAGCGTACAGCGACTTCTCCACCAGCTCTATCCCAGCTTCGGTAGTGGCCGCTGATTTCACCTCAAATATTGCCACCTACCTGTCAAGTCTGACCGGAAACCCCAACCAGCTCCACAGCGTTGCAGACATTCGCCATTATACTCAGCAGAGTCCACCCGAGGAATATCCATCTCGTGACACAGGGATCTGGGATCAAGTTATTGCGGCGGGCATGAACAACACCTCTCCCGGGTTCTGGTCATTGTATCAAGATAACTTGCAATTTGGCGATGAAGGGGGATTGTTGGGAGCACTGAGACGGCATGAGCTCGATGCTGTCATCTTGCCCACTCACCTGGCCTCTGATATCCCTGCCATAATTGGGACGCCGGTGATCACCGTGCCGATGGGGGCATTTCCGAACGGAACACCGGTCCGAGCAAATGCGCGTGGAGATCTGATCGAGCAGGCGCCTGGGATCCCTCTTGGCGTCAGTTTCCTGGGACCCAAGTGGAGTGAAGAGGCTTTGATAGGTATGGCATATGCATTTGAGCAGCGGACGCTGGTTCGCGACCGACTCGAACGGTACATTGAGCCGCTCTTTTGAGCCAGTGAAGAATGTCTATCTCTCATAGTAATCTGCCAGCCTGTCAATATGAGCACCGCCCTTTTTGAAAAATGCTTAGTTTTGATTCATTAATGTAATGGGTTGCACGGCTGGGTAATTTAGGTATCTGGCGATGGCAATCGATAGCGATATTGCGAGCCATTCTGATGATGTTCTGCTCAGGCAGCTTAACAATAGCCTAGTGCATGAGCATTGGGCTATAATGCTGGAGTGCGCATGTTGAAGGCCATAAGCAGCGAATTTTCATGATCTGGTGTTATTTTTAGCCTACGATGCATAGTCAACACCTGGGTGGGTAACTAGACGCCTCGGGCAGGGGTGAGAATTGTAAGCTCGACGAGAAGCGATCGACGCAATAAACTGGCTTGACGATGTTCCCCGTATATCAAATATCGTAGTGATGTAGCTAGTGCGGAATATTTCAGGCTTTTAATACATAATTCCAGGATCATCTCCCAACCACAACATCGGTAGAGAGCAATATGGTTAAATCATGCTGCCTCAGGCATACGGCATTATTCTGCCACGGGGAGCTAGGGGCGGTCAGGAAATGAACAGTTTTCCCGCCGAGTTTTGGCCGGCTGTTTTAACTACTTTTCTGCCGGTTTGGGGCGGTCAGGGATTGAACAGTTTTCTCGCCGGGTTTTCTCCGGCTG